AATCTTTTATAAAAGATTTTAACCTGAATATAATCATATAGGATAATATTTGTAATATGTTGTTGTTGTTTTCCAGTTAAATGATAAAAAGAACTACTTAAAATATCCACATATAATCCTGGTAATTTCATATTCTTTGTTTTAGTTTCTAAATTTATTGCATATTGAGTTTCTTCATTGGAGAATTTTTCTAATGTAATACATTTATTATCTTCGATTAATTTATCTATTAAGGATCGATATTGTTGAGAACGAAAAGCAATTTGTTGAACAGTTTCATGAAAAAAAAATATCTTATCGATTTTATTAATTAACTGATTAACACGTTCAAATTGAGTTAAGCGTTGTTTTAAATATAATGAAATAAGAGAAGAATGTTTATCAATTTTAAATATAGATTGAAGTTTTATTGATGAAGGAAGATAATCCATAAAGAATGAATTAATAAATGTATCAATTTGTACTATACGCCATGGTTTCTTTAAATACTGATTTATTGAACAAATTAATTCATCTAACATACATTTTGAAAGTAATTTTGAAAACATATCAGAGATAAGAATATTTGCTATAAGATTACGTGCTATTGGATATGATTCAGATAATGGTTCAACATAAAATGTAATTTTATCATCGATTGCAAAGCATCTAAAGAGAAAACGTAATTAAATGATATATTAAGTATTTTTTTAGAGTTTGGTATTTATCAATATTTATACCGTTTAATAATTTTACAAGCAAATTCTTGAATGTGTTCTCTTTGTTCTTTAATTGGATGGTGTTCTGCACGTTGAAGTAATAATAATCCATAACTAGTAATAGTTTGTAGAGTTGTACTTGATTTTTGAAGATGATTAAGAGCATGATCAATAATCGCTTCAAGTACTTCAAAATTCTTTGGTAAAATTTCTAATTGAAATTTATTATTATATTGTGATAAACTAGATAAGAAAGTATGTATAATATTTATTTGTTCATTAGTAAATTTTTTTTCAATCCATTCAAGAACATGTTTAATTTGTTCGTCATTGCTTGAAAAAGCACATTGAAGAAAAAGAAGATAATTTTGTTCACGTTGTTGTGCAATTGAACTAGTTTGATTGAATAAAATTATGAATTGATCAAAAATATCCTTTGTCATTAATTGATAACGAATTAATGATAAACGTTTTTTTGTTTTAACATTTTGATCTATTTCATATCGAGAAATTAAATGAAGAGAAAGTGGTGTTGTTATTTCAGCATATTCTGCGAATAATTCTAGAGTTGTTTCATCTCCTTCATTTAGTAATTTTTCTATAAATAATTCTTTTCCAATACGTTCATGAATAACAATATTCAATAACCATTTACGACGTTTTCGATTACTATGAAGACCCACATGTTGATTACTATCTTGTAACATATATTGAAATAAACGAATTGTATGATTTGATGACCATTTACATGTATTATATAAAGCATCAAATAGACGAATATAATGTTCAAGAGAAAATGAACGAGGAAATAAAAATTTGTCCAAATCAGGTTTGTCACTACACCAAGATAATTGATATTTAATAGTACCTACATAAGACATGAGAAGATAAGGAATTCAATAATACTGTTATCTATTCGTACTGATCGTTTGAATTACAAGGAGAACTATTTTAGAAATTTTAATTCGAAGAGCTATGAAGGTCGATCTTGTAATTAGACTCTATTAGAATTCTTCTCGTAATATAAAAATGCGCTATATACTGATATTCTGTGATCAGGGTTCATTTTGTCTTCAAGCCCTCATCCACACGATCTTGTGCATACTCCGATATTCTAATGTTCAGTGTGTATATTCATTAGTCAGTAAAATAATATGGTATTAGAAAAATAAAATCAAACCTGGTTGAGTTGATGCTACAATTGTAATTAATTCAATCATTTCATCTGGTGCTTTCTTGAAAAAATATTTTTGTTTTGATACAATAAAATATGGTAAGAATCTTTCATGTATTTCTAATTGATTAATACATTCAATTGTTAAACGACATACTGCTTTGGGATCTTTTTCTGTAAGTATTGTAAATAATGTTGTGTTTTCAGAATAATACTTGGAAAATTTTTCGCTAGTCATCTTATTTTTAGTAAAATCACGTTGTATTAAATGAAGGAAAATCTGAGGGTGATACGACATTAATTTTGAACGATATAATAAGAATGGTGAATCACTCGTTTGTTTTATAAGATCAATTGACCATCGTGATAAAAGCTCTAATATTTGATCTTGAGAACAAAATGGTAATAAATATTGATCAAGATTATACTGATCATAACGATAAAATCCAGTTAAATAACATGCAACATTATAAAAAAATGTTGAAGATTTTTTTAAACAATCAATTTTACAAAGAATTTTTAATAAATGTTGTTTAGTTCTAAACACAACAAATTAAAAATAATTGTTTTTAATAATATAAACTTACAAACGAGAAATATTTTTATCATTGATTGTTTCAACAATAAATTTATGTATTTGATTTTCATCATTTTGTATTTTAAGCCAAGCTTTTCCAGCAATAATTCGTCGTCGAACTGGTAATGAATCTGTTTGAAATATTTCTAATAAATTCTTTTCATTTTTTGTTAATTTTGATAAAAATATTAATATTTGTAAATCTTCATAAGATGTTGATTGTTTTAAATATTTTTCTATTTCATTTTTATCCGATAATGATAAAATATATTTAATACGATCGAACCATGTACCTTCATGTTTTAATAATTCATATTTACTAATTGTAGACATCTTTTCATCCAAAAACAAAGTAGGTGACTTTTTATTTCTAGCAATATTATATACAAGGACAATAATATTGACGTAAGCAAAACATCATCGTTCTTTTTCTATAAAGCGATGAAAGCACATGGCTTTTTGTTATTTCGCAATTCTGTGAAATATTCTTTTTCCTTAACGTACTGACAAATAAATCGATCCTTTTTGCACAGAAGAAAATGAATTTTACTAGAGCAATAAAAACAAATTTGAAAAGAAGCATGTTTATTGAATATTTTAATGATTTATGAAAATTAATGTGTGAGTTCTTGTTGAACTAAGCTAATCCAATAAGCGACACCATATGCTATTGCATCATCATTGAAATCATATGTTGGTGAATGTAGATTTCTAGATTTTGTTCCATCACATATTCCCATAAATATAAAAGCACCAGGTCGTTTTAAAAGAAAAAATGCAAAATCTTCACCACCCATAGATGGTTGTCTATTTTGATCGATATTTGCTTCACCGACTAATAATTCAGCTGCTTTGATTGCTCGTTCAGTTTGTTCTTTATGGTTGACTAGAGCGACACTAAAACGAGTGTATTCTACTTCAGCTGTGCAACCAAAACTAGTAGCTAGACCATTGGCTAATTCTCTTATTCGTTGTTCAATAGTATTACGAACTGATTCTGTCAAACTTCGTGCAGTACCACCAATACGTAATTTAGATGGCATAACATTAACTGAATCGAATGAACCACTTTCAAGAGCGCCAACACTAATCACAGCCGAATCAATTGCACTGACATTACGACTTACAATAGTTTGCAATGCTAAAATAAATTGTGCTTGCAATACTGTAATATCAGTGGCAAGATGTGGTCCTAAACCTCCATGACCACCAGTTCCATGAAATGTAACATACCAACGATCGGATGCTGCCATCATAGGACCAGGTCGTATAGTAAATTTTCCAAGTGGATCTGCATAATTGTGTAATCCATAAATAGCATCGATTGAAAATCGATCAAATAAGTTGTCGTTAATCATAGCAATTGCACCTTTTAATGCTTCTTCACCTGGTTGAAAGATAAAATGAACAGTTCCACAAAATGAATCTCGATGTTCAGCTAGATATTTAGCAGCCCCGAGTAACATCGTAGTATGACCATCATGACCACAAGCATGCATAGTACCAGGTTTTGTTGAGATGTAAGGAACATCATTTTGTTCGTTAAGTTGAAGAGCATCCATATCAGCACGAAGAGCAATAGTTTGATCACCTGGTCGTAAACTTTTCAATGTTCCAACAACACCAGTTAGACCTACGTTTTCTGTAACTGTTATACCCCATTCTTTTAATTTAGCAGCAACAAGAGCCGATGTTCGTACTTCGGTCATAGCCATTTCTGGATGTGCATGAATATCCTGTCGAATTAATATTAATTCAGATTGCATCTCACGTACCTTGCTTAGGAGTATATGGTTCATCTTTAAAGTATACTGACGTTTTTGTTCTTTTTTCTATATAAATAAAAACAAATCTAAAATCAATAAAAATAAAGATTAAATCTAAATAAGATGTAAGAATAGAAGACAGAAAAATCTACGAGTATCTCTCTGAAATATAGTTTCGCTTGAAGAAATATTGTTCGTTGTTATATTAAAAATGTGTTGATCATATTATCATATATCTACAGTTGGACTAACTTCATAAAAAATATTCGTTTACATGAAAGGGTAAAAGAAGAGTGTTATTGATAACGAAAAAGAACGAAATGAAAAGAAGATAAGGGAATGAACAAGAACAAAAAGAAACAATAGAAAGGATGAAAAGGTTAAGCAAGATGGAGCACATTTTTATCTGAATAAAAGAAACATACTGTTGCACTTTAAATAGAGTTAATATTTTTACTTTTTGTTGTATAAAGGCGAATAAAAGTCTACAAACTAGTGTGGTTACAAGAGTTAAAATATTCCAGCAAGATATGAATTTATATGAGCATATTCATAAAGTATATCTACTATTTATGTTGTATATTATTCGACTTGATATCATTTAATAATTTCATCCGGATTTTATATTCTTTTTGTTCGTATATCCTCAGGGCAAATTAGTAGCGGTAACTGATCAATTTGTCACGGTGTTCAATTCATCACATAACGATTAGTCGCACATTCATTTCGTCGTATAGTTGATTAGTCGCATTGTTTTCGCCATATCATTCTTTTATCGTCATTTTCTTTTGAACGAGAAAGAAGAATATCTAATAGATATTTAATTTAAACTAGTACCATCGATTATAGAGCTCAAATCGATATTAATCAAGAGGAGAGTTTGATAGAAATTTTTTTACAACTATTGATGGATTCGAGACTGGTTATAAGCACGAGCTAAATATATAACTCGCTCGTTCGACATACGATAAAATCCTTTTTGGGTTCCTCTTCACGAGTTGGAAAGATTTGAACAATGTCTAATATTTCGAACTTAAACTGTTCAAGCTAAACTTTAAACTAATATATTCAATTATTTAATCTTGGTTATAATTACAAGTTATCAATTGGTTCTGTTTCGCTGGCTAAAACCAGTATGTCCGAGGTAACAATGATGATTTTAAAAATATCCCTGTCTCTTTTTTTATTAATTATTCTTGATAGTATCAATCATAGAAGAGAATACTGCATTGAATTATCGAGCAGAAGAGGGTATATTTTATTTTTTATACAAATACCGTATAGAACATTCTATCGAAATTTAATCATAGCATTTGAGTATGAGTGAAAAAAGCCCCGATATGAAAGTTTGTATTTTTTTCGTTGACTTTTCATGAAATTATCAATTAAAAATTTTTGTTAGAAAATTGGAAAGTCTGTTTTATAAACTACAACAGATAAATGAAATATTGGCAAAATTTTGAGATCACCATTTATTCTGAACCATCCAATAACCATAAAAAGAATCCATTTTATAAAAGTCCTTGATTTTACTGAACATGAATCTCATCAATTCCTCATATATCAATGCGATTTAATTAAAAGTACAGTAACTATATAATATTCCTTGATCATTGTAATGATAACAATACACGATTTTGATATAATTCATAGATATTTTTAAAAAAATATTACTTTGATCGTTTTTTTTTAAATATTCATCTCATAATTGAATCATTATTTTTCATAAATTACAATCAAGATATGTATGTTTAGAGAAAATGCATATAATAAATATTTTGAATACTGAAATGTTGTATATTTTCATTATTCAACAAAAACTATCAACATTCATATACTCTAGTTTATAACTGATGATTATTTAGTATGATCGTATAAAAAAACTTATTTAATGGATAAAAAAAATCATATGACTCTTGTAAACATTATCCAGACATGACTTTAAAAAAAAGCATGACATCGATGTAGTTAAAGGTAGACGATAGAGAAAATATTCGTATCCACCCATCGATACATGAATTACATAGCTGTTATGTGAATAGATTTATATCGATAAGATGCTGACTTTATGACTGATAATGAAAATTGATAAACTATTCTATTTACATATTTTATATTAGAAAAAAAAATATGGCTCGTATACCAATACTATAACTAAAGAATACATAAAAAAATCATTATCTGTATTTTGATTATTCATATCTTTACAATACGAAAGGAAAAAAAACGGTAATCACATGGAGGTCAAAATCATTTTTTTCCTTTGTATCTGTCATGCTTAATCAACATGTGATGCATGCATATGATTATGAAATATATTTAAAAAATTAATTTAAAAAAAATGATACATTGTTCCTACGTAGAAATTTTATTTCTTCAAGAAACGTTACAGAAAGCTAAACGAGGACAAAGAATTAATATTGAATATTTGATCGTAAAAATTTATGCTTATATTTTTCTTTGTCAAAAAATGAACACATTTTAAGATAATGATCTAAAGTTAAATCTATAGTGTAGATTATTTAATCATAGTAGATCTCTAAAAAAATAATCTCACTAAAATCAGTTATATGAAAACACAATCTTTGTTGTATTTTATTAAATTATAAATTAGTCAAATACTTGCTGAGATATCGAACGTTGATACTAATAGCAATTACATGAATATTATTCATACTTATAACTTCCAACAAATATCTTTTCGTTTTATTTAATGGCGAATTTATCTTTAGTAAAAATGCATCGTAATATTATAATACGTCATAAAGTACAAACAAAAGAAGAATATTCTAATTGTTCTGCATTGTGCATATATCAAAAAAAGAATATTCATTGAATTATTATTAATCATACAAATAATTTAATAAATTAGATGAAAAATTAAATTTCAAAGTTGAAATTTATGAAAAAAAATAAATATAATAAAAAGAATAAGCTCAGGTACATTCATTTGAAAACGTACATTGATAAATAAAAGTAACACCTTGTTTATTTAGTACTGCTTAAACAAACATGATCAACCCACACCTTTCTTTTCTGTCACATATTATTTAGCTTTATCTTTCATTCTTATCAATGTGTAAAATCAATCTGTCATATTCCTTTGATTTTTTTCGAAATTTTGTATCAGCATAGTTTCGTAATAAGATAAATTGACAGTTTAGAAACCATGACGTAATAAAAATAAAACTAAGAGGAAAAAAAGGTGAATTAAGTCAGAATTATGATTCTTTTCAAGGTAACTAATTATGCACCTAACCAAGGCTTTTAAGTATAGATAAAAGAAAAAAAAGTCATGACTTTTCTCGAAACAAAAACAATCATGGATAGAAGGGTATATATAGAGCTAAGATGTTTGTGTATAATCATATAATCAAATCATTTGATTTTATACCTATACTTAACAAATACAGGTTTATCCCTTTTTCAATCAATCGGTGCTAATATGGTTCGTGCTGGAGGTATTGCTGCTGCTCCAATCTTGGCCGGAGCATGTATTCTATTTATTATGTTCGTCATTGCTTCGACAATAGTCCTTGCATTAATACCAACATATCTGACGACGAAAAGCATCGCAAAAAGTAAGAATATTATTTATTTCAAAGATTTTGTTTTACATTATATTGAAATTTATTAGGTAGTATCGCGTATTATTGTACTGCTACTTATGATGGTAGTTTGGGTAGTGATGGTGATCTCGATGCTACTGCACGCGCAGCATTCGCACGTTCGGTATGAATATTTTTTTGCGAAATAAGATTCTATAAATTTATGTATATATATAATTTATAGATGGAACATACAGTTCATCACCCAACCGATTCAATTTCATCTGATCTAATTAGAGCTGCAACAACATCAACACGAAGACGTAAAAGAGGATTGTATGTATTTGAAAACAAATTAAAAAAAAAGAAAACATAATGAATACACTGTTGTTTATTATTTTTAGTGCTCTTTCTCGTCTCAATCGTGGTTCAGTAGCAGGAGGTATCCAACGTCTATATATTCGTTTAAACTCAGTTGGTCTCATATCTGTATTGAAAGGAACATTTACCACCAGCTTTTTGTTCAATAATGTACAACAAACACCTACCTTAACCTATACATGTAGTCGAACACGTAAGTTGAATCTTTTTTTTTATAGAAATAGTGCAAACTTTTCTGTATTTTAGCTATTACATTTCCACCAATTATTAGTAGTAGTACTTCTGCTACCACTGCATCGCCTACTTCAGCAATGACTGGCTAAATTTCTTCTCTTCCCAAGACATTTCATATGAACTTTTTTTTATTTTCCTATGTCTCTGTACTGATCTGATTTATTCTACTTTATAACTAATCATATAAAATCCATTTAAACTTTTCTTCCCATTTTCATATGTATCCTTCAAACATTTCCTTAAATAAATAAAATTCACACAGTATTCAAAACGATAAAACAAACTTGTTTATTATCATTATATTCAGTAATGGGTTTTGAATTTCTTTCATATACCTTGCTGTCGATAATTAATTACGATATCGATCAAAAATTCGATAGATAAATTTTTAACTGCATTTGGAATTAAAAGATAAACGCATTAATATTATACGTAATTTTTTCATCGAATGTTTTTAAAGCAAAAGAAAATATTATTAACGTATGAAAAATATTTTATCAATGACGTCAATATATAACTAATTCATCTCCGTATTTGGTAATATCTTGAGAATGAAAACGGTTTAACACGTGCAGTTTTCATATCTTCCCAAAGCAAAATAAGAGAGAAATAAAACAAACGATAGTAACTTATTTTCATTGGCGAACTGATCAAATCAATCAGTATTTTATATATATTTTCATTGATGTCTCTTGCAAAAAAAAGGAGGATTATTAACTATAGGATATTTTGTCAGATAAATGAACAGTGAAAAATAGTCATTTATACTAAATGATAAATTAATTTAAAATAAATGAAATTATAAATATCGATAAATATAAATCTTTTTTATCTTCAATATGATTTTTAATATCATCAATAATATTTAACTATAGTCGATGGAAAATTTATGAAATAAATACGACTTATAGTGAATGAATATCACTATTATATATTACTCATAGCATAGACAAGACAAAATAAAAAATAAATTTTACTTACGAAGATAAGATTTTCTTATGAAAGCGATCAAATTATATTCGAATAGGTGAAGTCGAATGATTATATTTATATTAAATTGCGTACAATTCATCAAGGAACTTGTTGTTAATGGGAACTAATATAAATATTACCATTCGACCTGAACTATCAGATGAGATTTTCAAGTTATTAACTAACTTATATTATATTTTATTCTATTCAGTAATAGAAAATCTATAGATTAAAAACTAATTTCATAGAATTTGTAATAAGATTGAGATTAAATTGTGAAATTATAAAGTTATTGATCGTATTTGGCAATATTTTGTTTACTTACCGGATTGCAATCATTTTGAAATGAAATCAAACTCTACATGTATAGGATATAATGAAGCAAGATCTACTATATAGATGTTTCTAAATCGCTAGATCTAGGTATTTTAAGAACTACGTTTTAGATATTGATAATTTGGCTTCATTGATTGATGGAAAACAAAACTATAGTATTGAAAAAGTAAGTATCAGAGAGTTTAATAGTTTCCTCAATTTTCATTATTTTTGTGTACAATCTATGTCTTGCTTATGTCTCTAAGAGAACAACGATCGATTGAACTGACCTTTTTATAGTAAATCCAGCCCACCATATTCTACGAAATAAATTGTATTTCAGTTAATATCGAAATATTCATGTTTTTTTGTGATTAATATTCCACGGAGTAGGTTGGATAGAATCCCTATTAAAAAAATAAAAAGAAACAATTCTTTTTAGTAAAATTATAATATCAATTTCTACTTATCTAAACATACTAAATATAATGTTAAATGGAGTTTCGATGATGTTTCTTGTATAACCTTGCATATTAAGTTTGTTTGATAGCTTGAGAAAATGATGTTATTATATTTTTCTAATATTAATGTGATGCATTAATGAAGAATATTTCTTATTTATATTATATGCATCAATAAAAACTATACATGATTTCTTTTTTTTTCTTATTCTGTAGTCTGTCTACGTATAATATAGACACAAGAAAAACCGTGATAAGAAAAGAAATCATAAATTTGCATTTATCATATACTTCCGACATATATTAATAAGGTATACTAAGAGAAAACAAATATATGTATAGTCATATATACATATAATTGAAGTATGTGCATTATGCAGGCAATCGATTTTCATCGTTTCATGATTGAAAAGAAGTATTTATTATAAAAATTACTTACAATGATATATTGATAATTAAAGTAAGTGATTGATCGATAGGTTTTATTTGTAATATAATAATTTGATAGTAAATTAAAAATTGTTTTCATGAAATTGATTGATTAAACATAGTAGAGTTTCTTTAATTTTAATTATGAAATTCTCGATAATATATTTTAAACGAGTTCGAATATAAATGACTATAAATGAATTGCTTAGTTTCAAATGTTCGTCAAATCTGTAAAGTTAGTATTCTGTTTTTGTTTTATTATGAAAGAGACTTTACATCATTTGATATTATAAAGTTAACCTACTTTACCTGATAAAGTAAAGATAAAAATTTATCTTTACCGATGCGTGTTACCTCTCTACGAGAAAAAATACTTGTTTTTATCTTAAATACGTTCTTGTTCGGCGATTGGTGTATATGTAATATCGAAGGATATGGAGTCAAAAAATAAAGTTAAATTCTAATGAAAAAAAAAAGAATTTTATCTCAAATATAGTTCAAATTAATAATTTAGATTTTATTTTAGTGTATCAAGAAGATTCCAAATTTTTTGACGCATGACATTTGTATCACCATTGAAATTATTAATAATAATTGAAAAAACATATTTATTAACATAACCAGCATATGATAATACATTTTTAATATAACCACTCTTCATACGAATTCCATTAATAATTGGTAATGCTGATTGATATATAGGAAACCATGATGATCGTTGTACATCGAATAGGACACGTGCTAATGTCCATGTTGTAACACGATTTTCAGGTGATAAACCTGATCCGTCGATAGTAGCTACTGCTGTTTGTTCAATTCCATGTTCATTTTGACAATATGTTGGTAGAATTGTATTAGCACTAGAATTGATTTTATGTCCAATTGTTTTAATAATAATTTCACCGTATAGATTAATACTATCCTGTTCGAACCAATAGAGAATATCACTCATTGGTGGTGAATGATGAACATCAAGTGTAGATCGATCTGATGCAGTATTGATAGATTCCTTTGTTTTGAGTATGATCAAATCGGTAGTATCAGTAGACCAACGCATTTTTTGACGAAGTTCATCTGCAACATACAATGCTGAATTCGCTACAGCACCACCAATAGAAAATTTTTTTCCTAAATCAATTGCTAATGAACCACGTAAGTACCCATGATTATCATCTAAAGCTAAATACATATTAGTACGATCTCCACTACCTAGTGGGCCAGTAGTTGCTTCATTAATAATAGTTAAAGATGATGGTGGATGAACTAAAGCTACAAGAGTAACAGGTTTACCAACAGCATCTCCAGGTGAAAGAATAAGACGAAATTGATTTTCACGCCAGTTTAATACACTACTGCCTGTTCCATAATAATTTCTAAATAAAGAAACAAAAAAAATAAAAATTAAAGATAATCATTCACAGATACAAACCCAATATCTCCCCATAGATATCCATCTGGAATAGTTTGTGTGTCATCTGACCATACGCTAACATCAGCAACTATTCCTCGACATTCTTTGATACCTACATCATTAATTAAATATGCCCATCGATCCATAATAGTATCCCCATTCGTTTCATTCCATCTCGAACTTCCTAATGTTGGATCACCACCACCTAGATATAAAATCATTTTTTTACTTTTAATCTATGCCTAATTCATTATAACTAACCAACAATATAAATATATCCATCTAAAGTTCCATAATCATCAAGTATACCAGAATATTGTAATAATGTTTCATATCGATAATCAGAACCTAAGTAATGTAAAGCAGCTGCACCAGTTATTGTTTTTAAAGTAGATGCAGGTGCTAGACCTACATCTTTATTTGATGCAAAAACTATATTTCCAGTCTTATTATCAAGAATAATCATTGAATATGTCGCATGTGATAATTGAGAATCATTAATAAAGTTTACCCATGCTGTTGAAAAATTATTTGCTTCAATGATATTAGTAGTATAAGCAATGAACCATAGAAGCAGAAATAATCTCTTAAAACAAAATCAACAAGTAATATCCCATTTTCTCTAATTTATGAAACATGCTACAGTGATAACAATCTACAAACTGCTGAATAACTTATTAGTTTTTAAGATTTTCTAGATAAATTTCAAATATGAAAAACAACCTTTTACTCACATTACATACCATTATTATCAATTGTTACGATGTCAACTATGAAATAACAATAATATAAAAGCTTTGTATTTTATTTGCATATTTGTTTTTTGTTTCTTATCAAAAAGAAAATATTTAGTTGTTATAACACATAAGAAAAGAAAGTTCTATGATCCATTTACTGGTGAATCTAATATTTACGTCTAACAAGTTGATAACATAAAGTAGTCTATTTCTCTGTTTATACTCATTCAACTGCTAATTTTGAATCGAATAACGATTGTATAAATAACTATGAATATTAAGCTGACGATTAGTGTAGCTTTATTTTGCATCATATTTTTAATCATGTGAAAAATACTTTAGTTTACGAAATTGAAGAACAAAAGGAAATGAAACTTAAAAGTATGTTTGCTTTGAAGATTTTGCCTTTATATATGTATATGAGATGTATTCAGTGTATATAAATCAATTCATTGTTCCATGCTGTTCAATACTAATCGTAATTGATATAGTTTATGCTTGAATGTATTTATTGTTTTGTTAATATTTTATTTATGAACTATTAGCACCTAAGTTTTTCTTTTGGAGATGTAGCTTAGAAATTTTTTAGTAAAAACTTATACGAACAAGTACATATATGTATAATTACATAGATGAAGAGAAAATAAGAACATTGCTTTTTGATTAACAAAAACAACTAATTATTGTCCTGTAAATGACAATACGTAACATGCAGACATACCATGAAAAATATGCAGACTTTATTTTTTATAAAATACGTGAAACATAAATTAATATGACGTATTGCACCTTTACCCATGCAAACGGAAATGTGAAATAAACGCCTATCAACAATTTGTTTTTTTTTTCGCTTCGTGATTTTGCACTGTAAACTTAAAAATGTATGAACTTTGATATCTAAAAACGATTAGTATTGTCCAACGTATTACCATTGTTAGAACTATGTTGAAAGAAAGAAAATTGATCTATGTCTTTATTAATGGAAATATCGGCAATTAGAAAAAACAATGATAACTATCTTTATACAGTAGCGTAGTATAAGAACATTCATCGAAAATGATACGAAGCATACCGATATAAAATCGGAGAATTCATGCTTTATAAAGATCTTTTAATTAATGCAGTCACATAAAAGAGTGAACCAAATAATTTGCTTGCTTTGAGGTAGCAGCTATCAGTGAAAAATTATAAAATGTTCAACCCTATATAAATGCATATCGAATTATTTAAGTTACTAATAGAATAATGCTTTTAATAAGAATAATGATTGAAAACAAAAGGCAGATATCTTGTGAATGAAGACGTTCTACTGATTTAAACTCACACTCTCATGAGATGAAAACTTGAAAAGCTCGTAAAAAATATGATGTTCAAAGTAGTTTTAACCATCAATGTGAAGTGTATAATTTATGAAAACAATAAAGTAAAAGTTTCGAATTTATACAGACTTGTAGATCTGGAGTAAGTATATAGAATGCTATCCTTATATATTAATTTATATACAAATTTTATAATATTTTGGAAATGCTTCCTCAAACTTCATTGATTATTCATCAGACTACATAAAGATCTATCAGTTGTCTTCAAACAATTCCTTTGTATCAACATTTCGATTTGTAACTTTCGACAGATACTATTCTGTTACTTGAAGATAAATGTAAATTTGGTTATTATTTAACAACTTTACTCGTATATCGTTATCTATCTTTCAATCTCTGTGCATACAGGTATCCACCAGATATTCTTTTTTCTTCTTTTCTCTTTATCATTAACAAAAACTTTATTGCAAGTAAGTCAGAAGTAACTGATTACTTAGAAGACATTTCATTATAAGTAATCAACCATCGATACTAGTAATTTTTGTATAACTCTCGATATAAAGAAGAGATAGAATTTTCCGGCTTTCATTTATAAGAATAAGTTATTAGTAAACCATATATATTTCATTTTTGAATATTAAATACTGAAATCGGTGCTTGGGAGCTATGTTAGAACTTCTATAATTTTAAGGATAGAGTATCTGTCTGAAATACACGACCTCAAAATGACATATTTTCTCACTTTTTGACTTGACATATCTTTTAATTTAAAAAAAGATTCGTTCAATGCAGCTCTTGACCATAGCTCACATGTTATAATCAGGATATGGTTCTAACTCGGATGCTATGTATTTCTTTGGAATTTGAGTATATTCATTTTTTTTTGATATTTCTGAAGAATCATAGTCATATGTACTAGAACTTTTCTGAAACTGTACGTTATATTTTCAAAAAAAATAGAAACGACCACGATAGTCAGAATACAGCGTTTGTTCTGAGTATTTATATGACTTTCAGACATATTGTTTATTGAAAAACTATCTTATCGACTTGCTTTCTTCTTTAAGATGTCACAAAAAATAACGTTGCCGAAAGTAATCTTTGGAACTAGTGCATTAGGAAATTTATATGTGGCACTTGAAGATAAAGTTAAACTTGAAGTAGTTACAGCATGTATTCAGTATACTTCACCACAAAAACCAGTTGTATTTGACTGTGCTGGAAAATATGGAGCTGGATTAGCTTTAGAAACATTAGGTAATTGTCTCAAAACGTTAAATATAAAGCCAGATGATGTGCTGATTAGTAATAAGCTTGGTTGGTATAGAACTAATGAACTTCAAAATGGAGCAGAACCTACATTTGAACCGGGCGTATGGCGTAATTTGAAATATGATGCAGTACAGAAGATTAGCTACGAAGGTATACTCGAATGCTACGAACAAGGCAACCAGCTATTGAATGGATACAAAGCTGAACTTGTATCGGTACATGATCCTGATGAATATATTGCAGGAGCTCAAAATCAAACAGAAAAGGACAAACGTTACAATGATATTATTGAAGCTTACCGTGCACTTAATGAATTGAAGAACCGAAATGAAGTCAAAGCTATTGGTATAGGATCAAAAGACTGGAGAATAATAAAACGTATTGTCAACGATGTTAGTTTAGATTGGATAATGATTGCTAATAGTATGACTGTACATAGTCATCCTCAAGAACTAGTTAGTTTCATGGAAGAACTACAACAGCGTGAAATAATTATTATTAACGCAGCATTGTTTAACGGTGGCTTTCTAGTTGGTGAAGATTATTACAATTATAGATTGATGGATCCACAGCATGATCGACAACTGTTTCAATGGCGTACAGATTTTTTTAAATTGTGTGATAAATATCAAATTAAGCCGGTTCAAGTATGCATCCTATTTGGACTAAATGCACCAGGAGTTAAAAGTATTGCTTTAAATACTGCAGATATTAATCGTATTAAAGAGAATTTAGATGTAGTAGCACTGGGAAATATGGTTATACCGTCAAATTTTTGGAAAGAAATGAAAGAATATGGATTAATGACAATAACTATATTTATTTGTAAAAGTATTATTACATAATATTCCTAGATTATCACAGATATATTTTGTTCTACGTATAACTTTCTTTTCATCTTCTATATATTCTTCTGATTTTCTCTCTTGCTCAACAAACTACAAAAATGTATTTTTTTTTATTTTATTACAATTGTTCGATATTTTTTTGTAACAAGAGTGTTATGTAATTGCCAAGGTAACGGATATTTATCAGAAGCAATCGTTAGTTGTTAATTGCATCAATTTGATTAATGCAGTCAAATAGAAGTGAAATAATATTATCTTTATTAGTATGAGGAAAATAACCGTATATTGACAAAGTAAACGCGACTGTAATCTATTCATCCATGTACTGATCAAGATTCATATAAAATTTTCTCTATTTTCTTATGGATAAAAATATAAATTTTTATTTACTTGAATTACATTACAAAAAAAATTCTAGTATCATATAGACGCAAAAATCATTCCTGTAACAAGCATTTTCAGATAAATCTTCTTATCTTATTCTCATTTATTAACTATATGTATCATATTATATATGTTATTCTATTTTGACCTTCATCCAACGAAATGAAAAATAAAGTGAATGCACTATCGCTGTGTATTCGAGCGTGCTTTAATGTATATATCAATAATGATTTATAAATAATCTTCAGTTTATCATTCGATTAAAAACAGATTCTCATCATATTAAATATACAAATTATTTATTTGACCAATAAAACATCGATTCAATGTAATATAACTAATTGTGTTGATCTGATCAAGATGAAGTTTCATAAGGGTGTGCGTATATGAATACTCCATGTATCGCATATTCATATTTAAATTGCTCTACATTACTTTATGGAAAAGTCAGAATTATTAATTCTTAATCACATGGTCATCGACAATCTCAATATTTAAGTAATATCTATTTTAAACAAATTATTTTAACTCAATAAAATTCCAGCGTGTTATTATCGATGAAAAAAAATAATAAACACTCACTCACTTATTAACATATTTTTTTTGTCGTTCTATTACTAATACACCGTGTCAAAAGAATAGAAAATTGGCGCATTTATTCTCTTTTATTTTGTTATATTCGTAGATAAATTTATCTCTATTTAATGACGTACATAATTATCAACAACATGAAAAAAAATAATTAATTAAGGATTGTTAATAAGTGAGTTAATATTATTTTTTTAATTTGTTTTTGAATGAAGTAAAAAGAATATATTTTGAGAAATTAGGTCGTTTAGTATATTCTAATAGCTTGTGTAATTGTTAATTATTTCTTTTCTCATGTATATTATAAAAAAAATTCTAGAGTCTATTGAAACATACGTAAATCTAATTGTCTTTTTGTTTTTCTCTATAAGAAGAATAGAATAAAAGGTTGTAAAATCGATATTAATCACCTTGGTTCGAAGGACATAAATTATAAGCCAAAAATACACCCTCAAGTTTGTGCTTTTGAATAATAACTTTCGAATACAATAAACATATAAACAAATAAACAAGGATTTGTTTTTACGCAGTACTTCGTATATTTGATCAACTGATGAATTCTTTCGTAAAAAAATATTTTGTACGATTTTTATACGAACGTAATATATCTCCGAATGATGTATATTATTCATCGAAGTATGTAGCTATGCATGACTGTAGGCAGCGTTTCACATTCTTTTAAGGTAAATTGGTGCATGCGCTCGAATATTTTTTTTAATTATTCGTGAAATATGTATAATTAAACATGTTTACCTGAGAGAGAGAGAAACACGAAGCAGGTTATCAAATTTTTTTTCTGTTGATAATCTCACCATTGACGTTGGTGTTTATATTTTACAAAACATTTTTACCGTAAGTAATGAATAATTTTTCATTAATTTTATTGCGTAGGAAACTCAGGAGCAGTTGCCTCATCTGACTTGAACCATAAGTCAAATTCTTCAGATATGTGTATTACTGAAGAGCATATCTGCTGTATCGTCGAATATTAAAAGAAAAAAATCTTTAAGTCGAGTTTCTTTGTTTCAGTGCAGTTAGTTTTAAATCATTCTTTTATTCAAAAATGTAGAGTTTGGTAAGCTATTTCAGAATATATTACCATTTTTTTGCATTAGACAATCTATTTTGCTGATAGAGAAATTTCATATAAACTCTAACTGAAATGAAAGTTTGGATTAGGTGTAACAGATTTGTAGCAGAACTATATGAGTTACTTAATTCAAGTTCAAATACAAATGAATATCTAAATCTCTATTATCAATTGAAAAATAAATTTAAAAAAAATCATAGTATGTGTGATGAAATATAGTACTATAAAGAATTTGTCTTGCTTTCAAAATAGAATTAGGTAGCTACTCGCAAGCGAATAGACGACTGCACAGTTGTATCCTAAAAGAGATCCGCAAAAACGGAATATTCGGATATTATAGATAAGCATATTTGAAGTATTTTTTGACAACTAACCCCTGTAAAATATATACTAGCAGTAAACCCTTATATTTCTAGTGTAATATAATAGGAACTAAACAAAGAGACAAGAACATTCCAGATGAATATTGATAAATTTCAGTACTTATAAAGCTTTTGATTCTGATAATTTTGATAAAATGATCTTATGAATAACTTTTATTTTTGACGAAAACTGCTGCAAAATTATGTCTAGATCTAAAGCTTCTAATTACTATAGTTCAATTGTAGAACAAACAAAAAAGTACAGTTGCAATCAACATAGAAATTTAATTTAGTCACAATTTATTACACAATTTTTTTTCATATAAAAATCACGTGTGCTATTTCTGCACGCTTACCTGTTCCTTTTTCTCATCAAGTTCTATGATGTAATGACTTTTCCTATATCGTCATATTCTTTCCCTTTTCTTTTCTATGGTATATTCGAGTACGTCACTATATAGACATATCTGATCGTTACGCTGTCGGATGTAATAGAGAATTCTTCTGTTTCACATATACTCTAAAGAATAGCTAGTACTTTTTTCCTAATGCATTGTTATCTTCTGTTTCTGAGATTTTGAAAATATGGATATACATCGTAATATAGGATTGATTAATTAATCCTATGTATAACTGGAAGTGAGCTAGTCCATTTTAACTTTTTAAATCGATCGATTTCTTGTTAGTTTTTACAATATTGTTGTGCAGGTTTTCATGATTTTCACAATTAGAAAATTTAGTTTTAAGTTTACATTCACGTTCTCTTTCCCTCTCATGGTGAAATGTAAACTATGCATCATTTTTGTACTTTTTTCTATTACGTAGAAGTTTCTGATTACTCATCCCATGTGATTGATGTAAAGCTAAGAAGAAAGTAAAACATTTTAAACATAATTATCATGCCTTACCTGGATAAGATATTTTTTTTCTGTGTCATCACCTCTTCTACCGTTTATTAATCATGTTTATTATCTCTATTTTAAACTCCTTTGATAAGAGTGCTTTTTTTATTGTAAATATACAGTAATATATACAAAAAAATTCAATATGATTATCTATCATTAGGCAGTATATTGAGTCAGAATTCTTTCTGAGTGCATCCATTATTAGTTTACTTCTTGAATAAAAATTTCTGTTTTTGTTGATATTTTAATTCTATACATCTAACTAATATTCATTCGTTTTAATCTTTTAGTATACATAAATTAAATAGAAATGAAAACCAAAATTGATGAAGATCTATCTATTAAAAATTCAAAGCAACGAATTATGGGTTCTGCCGAGAACGCTCTTATATTGACGTCGCAACAACATCATGGCTATATGAAAGTTGGTATAGTTATGCATCTACAAGGACCCTATATCGCTTTGGAGGCATTAATAACAGCAGTAAATCGACTGCAACGTCGTCATCCTTTTCTTCGAAGTCGTTTACAAGTCAATCCTGAAAAGCCAGGCACATATTTAATGGAAGAGGATGATACACTTGAGCTCAAAATTATAGAAATACCACGAGAACAGGACGATCATTTTGATTTTTGGCGGGAAGAATGGAGAATGCGAGAGAAAGATCCAGCAGTTGTTGGACAAGGACTCGTTCAATTTTGGCTTTTACAGGTACATTAGTTTTTATTTTCTAACTTTCTAAATACATTCTATAATCTTGATAACCATATCATAATTCAATATATATTTTTAGGATCCAAATGATGATGACGATGACGATAGTCCAAGAGAAATAGTAATAGTATGTGAACATGGTATCTGCGATGGCATGTCTATTAGTACTGTAGCACATGAACTTCTGATATCGTTAAGTGATAATGATACAAATATGTTTGACGGTTCATTGAATTGGCCAATTATTATGGAAACTGCAGTTCGCAAAAGTGTCTCCGCCTACGGTAGAGTAATCAAATTTGCCAAATTTCTTCTCAGAGTTCTATATTGGCGAGCCACTAGCAGTCGACGTACTACAAGAATGCCATTGATTGCTAAAGATTTTCCTTTGGAGGAAATGGCGACATATTGTCATACTGAAGCCTTTTATGGTAGATTGAATAAAGAAGATACACAACAACTATTAAAAAAATGTCGTCAAGAAGGCGTCACACTAACATCAGCTGTAAGTAGTGCCATTCTATGTTCGACTTCAGCATCATTGGAAACCAGAAAGGATCAATCAACACAAGTAGTTATGGCAATCACGGCAGATACTCGTCAGAGATGCGTACCACCAGTTCCTAATCATGATCTTAGTTATCAAGCATCAGGAATCATGGCATTCACAGTGCTTAATAAAGAAATTCCAGTCACATCATATGGTATGTGGCAACTTGCGAAAACATTTGGAAATCATGTAAAGAAGTCTATTAAAGCTGGTCAGAGTCTTGCTCTTGCAATGGTTATGGGAGAATATTTTCAAAGGAATTTAGGTGCTCCTAATATGACGGAACATCCAACTTGTGGAATTTCAAACTGGGGTCGTTTACCTTTTCAAGAAAAATACGGAAATTGGGAGCTTTTGGAGGTAACTCCTATTCTTAATTTAGTTCGAACAGTTATGCCAATCGTTTTTGTTCAAACTGTTAATGGAGTGTTAACGATTGCCTGCCTCGGTTCTGTTCCTATAATGTCTTCAAGGATCCTAGAAAGATTATGCAATGGTGCAATGTGTAAACTTCACGAAATGATAGAAGATATCTTCTAAAACTATGTTTATACTGCGAACTAGCAGACCAATTTGTATTTTATATTACTGTTAATAAACATCTGTGTGTAGATTGAGAGTACATCAGCGAGCATACGATTTCAGAAGTGTTCTATATCTTGTCAGCTATTTACTATGCGCTGTAAAATTTTAGTTTAAATAAATTATATTCAATGCAAGAATGGGAAAAAATTTTTCATTGGACAAGAGCTCCTTTGAAAGCATGATGTTACCCAAATGGATCATTATGACATCAAGATATGAACAACAAAACAACTAATATAAATAGAAGGATTTATATTGAATATATTAATTGATTGGTCATATTCGAATCAAATAATTATTCTTACAGAAAAACTAATGTTTAAAATATTAGCTAGTTATGATGTATCTGAACCGAGATATTGAATTTTTAAGTTAGGAATTATTTGAATATAGAAACCTAATAATATGTAAATTATTCACATCACTTTTTAACATAATCATTAGATTTTTTTCATGAAAGGCACTTATAAACTCTCGATAAACTCTGTTAATAGCAATTAATCTTCTTCTAATGTTCAATAGTATCGAATGATGAGAATATCTATTATTGCGTTTCTAGTCTAATGATGAATTGTAATGAAGATAATTTTTTTTATTATGTAGTAGTTAAGAATCGATGAAATAAGAATAAAATAAACAGTTTATTGAATGGATTCATCATCAATTCTTTTCTATTCATTCCTTGCTTATGTCTATTTCAACATACTCAAAGATGATATTTAATATAGAATAGATAATTTATATCGTTTACATTTTCTTCAAATTCTTAGAGAGAATAGATTAAAAACAATTATATTTGTGTGGGTTAAAATATTTTATTTAGGTATTTGAATAAATAAAGCAGAAAAATAGGTTTTAGTCTGTGATAAATGAGAATAATAATGAAGGATTTAGTTAATTCTTTCTTGCATTGTTAATGCATCTGTAACATCATCTTCTTCATGTTGTTCACGAATATGAAGTAAAATCATAAGTTCATGTCGAAACAATTGACTTGATAATGTGCACGAATAAAAACTTAAACAAGGACCAAACAGACCAACGAATGAAAGCACATTGCCAATTAAACTTTGTTTAGCCAATTCTAATGCATCTTTTCGTGAATTATCATCAAGTACATTAAATGTACCACCAATTGCTCCTGCAGCTGATGTTAATCCAAATAAAATTGATTGCATAAGTGTCATTTGAATCAATTGTCGATCAATAAATTTCGTTCGTTTCTGATGATGAATTATAATATTTTCATCATGGACTCTTGGAATTGATTGTTGAATATGACGAATTGTAAGAAAGCCAAATATAAACATTGTTAATGATGGAATCAAACTCCAGATAATTAAAATAAAAAATCCATTTAATTTTTGAAATAAATTTGGTTGACCAAGACATATTGCTGGTTGACTACTGATTGTGAAAAAGATAAGTATTGGCATTTGTGTAAGACCTGTAAATACAATTGCAAGTGTTATCAAATATTTGAAAACACGAATTGAACTCCAACCACGAAGTCTCATAGATGGTGAACTACATAAAAACCTTAAATAGAAAAATCAAATATCATATATATATATATTCAAATTGTTTATTAGTTACCGATCAATAGAAGCTAAACCTATAAACCAACAGGGTAAAATTCTACAAAACAAAAAATACAGTAATAATCAAAGCTAATTTGATGATCATCTATTATCAAAATATTAATAAATTACCTTGCCCAAGAAAATAAAAATGTCAACATTTTGCACATTGTCACTGAAGAAAGAAATAAACTTCGACTGTACCCAAATTGTAGAAGACGCACTGGTAGAACACCAAATATAACACCATAACCAGCAATGGCTGATGCCATGAAATATCTAGCACATGGATTTAATCGAAGTGCAGGCCGAGTGAATATACAGACATTTAATGAATGTCCAATCAAACCAAGAATAAACATTGTCATACACCAATATCGGGTGAACATGATCGTTTTCTGTGTAACATTACTCACAGCACTAGCAAGATCATTAGTGGTATTTGAAGAAGACATCTTAAAAGATATTTAAGAAAATAATCTAAAATAACTATTATTATTCAATAAATCATTTTCAACATCTTCTCATGTATTACCTCAGAGTTTTATTCTTTAATAGAATAATGTTTTAAAACATAATCAAAGCTCAGTAAACTAAGATTAACACTACTTTCCTCAGATATTTCTGTCTAATAACATCTGTTTATATACTCTTGCTCATATTTGTTCTTTCTTGTTCATCAGCTTTATTTATTCGGCACTTCAGACAAGAAAGAGAGAGAGAGAGAGACAGAAAGAAAGAATGGAGGAAAATCTGTTAGAGATCAGTCAGGTCTCTATGTTTTTGACCTATTTCAAATAATTTTCATTCTTATTGGTTATTTATACAAAAAAGTTCATTTGACCTTTGAAAGAAAACAAAGCATCCAACAGACAAAAAGAATTAACAGATTTGAATTATTTTTAGTTTAAAATATCAACAGTTTATCACAACCTGAACTCTGACAAAGTTCGAACTTTTTCTATCTTTTATAGATATCATAAAATTCATTTTATAATTAGTTTTTATTTTTATTTCATTTAAGTCGCCAATTGAATCTGAAATGTACCAGAAAATCAATACACAACTATCTATTTATAGAAAATACTGACAGATATGATTACAATATTCGTTGATGAAGATTAAGTGAATAAGAAAAGATTATATACCATCTGATCTTTAGATATTTAGATTAACAACATTCCTTAATTTTCGAACAAATGATATATGTTGAACTTGAAGTTATTATAAAAGATAAACTTCATACTTTTTTCAATGGCACTGATAATACATATATCTCACACTTTGTTTGGTTTTGAAGAATTTTATTTCAGATTGCTTCAACCTTTGTAATTTATCACAGGAAAATTTCGATTTTGTTCTGACTTCTGGAATCAAGACGAAATTAACACATTAATTAGATATGTATGTTAGTTTAAGATACTATTCTTTCATGTTAATTCATTGATTCATTTAAGATTGAATGTATTCAAAAAAAAACTTAGTCGAAGAACAAGATGATCGCGTCAAAAATAATTTATTTTTATTTTAAACACTTTAATAAACAAATAATAAAATTGTTTTTATTACTGACATGTTGACATATTAATCCCCTTTTACGTTTAAGGATTGTCTTGTTTTTTCCATTTTTGAGAGTGGCCCACAGTCTTTGCTTTTGACCTTTTTTTGTCATAGCACTATCTCTATAATAAAACTTGTCAGAGAGCTACCAGAATCATCAATTTCTACAATCAGATATATTAATATCTAGTATTCCTTTTGAATAAGAGATGATAAAAAATTAATAAGCATATAAAATGGAACAAAAGTCTTCGCATGTACGATTAAAAAATTTGATTTATTCATAAATTTTATCGGTACAATTAAGAAAGTGAAATAAGATTATCATGACCCATGAATATATTTTCACCAGACTTAAAAAAAATATTTATTAATGGTTATAATCGTCTTAGACGGTAAGCAGTACACAATGATTTCATTCAATCTAATAAAAATATTGTTATTTCTGCTTAGTCAAATGATGATTATAAGATTAGGTTGACCCGAATAGATTACGTTCTAAAAGTACAATGAAACAAGATGAATCTTTGATTACTTTGTCTACAAAGAGTCTTCATGAAAAGACATGACATAGTTCTATGAAAAATGTCATGTTTTAAGAATCCCTTGTTAATTACATAGATATTTTCTATTATATACATTTAATAGCACAAACAAATATATAATACTTCATTATGAAGAGAATGATCGAATTGTAACAATAACATTGAAGTGTCTGCCTTCATCCACATCCTTGTTTTTCTATGATTTTTCATTTTAATTGAAATGAGTAGTTGAAAGCTATACTGATACCTATTAATTTATTTTACTTTGCTATCAAATTTATAAAAATTACTTTTTTTTTTCTATTTTATCAAAAATTTTATCATAGTGCATAGATGAACATATAGGGCGGTATGTGAACAAACTACACATAAATGATATCAACACCTAATATTCAGGTAGATAAAATACTTTTATCTGTACAAGCAAAAAAACTAAAGCATTTCTATTATTCTTAACGTGGACGAACTGAACCAGCACGTATATTTGAACTTCCTCGAGCTGTTGTACTTTCTCGAGTATCGCGCTAGATAAATAAGACAAACATTGCTAATTATGTTATTTTAATAAAATAAATTAACTTACAGCTTCTGACGAACGACTTCCACTAATTGATGATCGATTTTTAGTACGTAATTTACTCATTTGACTTTCAGCTAAATCAGCACGTTCAGCTGATTCTTCTATAAAAAATAAGAATCTTTTGAATGGACTTTTCGTTTTTCAATTGAATAACTTACCAAGATCAGTTTGAGCTTTACGAAATTTAGCTAAATTATTGGCAGCAATTTCCTCTAAAAAGAAAAGTATAATATTAATATTTGCTTTTCTGTCATTCCATAAATTATGAATTAAATCTATTTACCAGCTTCTTCAACTTGACGTCTGTATACTTTAATCTTTGATTGTAATTTTTCAGTAGCATCTTGTAAACTTAATTGAGTTTTACGATCTTCTTCTGTTTGAGCTACAAGTTCTTTCAAACGACGATCATTTTTACGTAATTCTTTCAATGTTTCCTGATGACGATGTTGTTCTAATTCATTTTCACTTTCTAATTCATGAATCTAAATAAAGAAATTAATTTTCTTTTTGTTTTTAATAGGAAAACAAAAGTTTTCTCACGCGTTGTTCAAGTTTACTAATAACACGTTTTCCACCTTTAAGTGAATTTCCTTCTGCTTCATTAAGACGTGCTTGAAGATCTCTAATTTGTTGTTCAAAACCTTTACGTAATCGTTCAACTTGTGCAGCATGTTCTTGTTCTTGACGTAATTCTTCAACAAGACGTGAAGCATCACTACCAGCTTTCTTAGCACGTTCTTCACTATTCCTAAGTTCATTAACAGCTTCATCTAAATCAGCTTGCATAGAAGCAATTGTTGATTCAAGTTGTCGTCGTTGTGAAGATAAATTAGCATTTTCTGTACTAACATCACTAATACGATCAGCTGCATCATGTAATTCAGTTTCAGCTGCTTTACGTGCACGTTCAGCTTGTTCTAAAGCTGTACGTAATTCTTCGATTTCACAATTTAAAACATTAAAACGACGTTCAGCTGTTAATGCTATTTCTCGAGTTTCATCACGTTGTCGTTGTTCTCCTTCAGCTAGTACTTGCATTTCTGCCGTATTTTGTTGTATACGTTTTAATGATTTTTGTAAATCAGCATTGGTGCGATTAGAATGATCAAGTGCAACTTCAAGTTCATTGATATCGGATTCAAGTTTCTTTTTCTAGACAAAAACAAAAATTGATATTTATATGAAATAATAAAAAATTGAATTTATTTATTTTTCTACTTGTTTAAGTGTTTCAGCTTTGGCTCGTCCTTCAGCATCGACACTTGCTTGCATAGATTCAAGTGCACGTTGATGATTACGTCTTGTATTTTCAAATTCTTCTTCTTTCTCACGAAGTCGTCGATCAATTTCTAGTCGAATAGAACTTAATTCCATTTGAGCCTGAACAACTTTAGCTTCTTCTCGTTCAAGTGCTGCTTCAGCATCTTCTAATGCAGTTTGTAATTCTTCTTTTTCTAATTCAGCATGTTTACGAGCTTTGTCTAATTCATGAACATTCTTTCCACCTTCACCTAATTGTTCAATAAGGTCCTAAAAGAAAAAACATAAGATTTTTCTTTTTTTTTATATAAATTCAACAAACTTTTATTTCATCAGCTAAATTCTTATTTTCTTTTTTAAGTGAAGCAATTTGTTCATATGATTCTTCATGTGTTTGTTTAAGTTTAAATAATTCTGTTGAAAAATTTCGTGCTTCTTTTTGTGATGTTTCAAGTTCAACATTTATATCTTCACATTTTTGTTTCCATTCATTAATTAATTTATCAAATTGTTTTTGTTTTTTATCCATAGCTGAAGCATCTGAATTAAAAATTTAAAAACGAAAATAGAATTTCTTTATTATACAATATTTTTCAAATGAATTTACTAGCATTAGCACGTTCAACTTCGACCATAAGATCTTCAACTTCACCTTGAAGACGAGATTTAACTTTTTCTAATGCATTACATTTATTCAATGCTGCATCAACTTGTTCTTCAGCTTCAGTTAATTTCGTTGCTAATCTTCGTTTAGCTTCTTCAAGTTCTTCACCACGTGATGAACCTAGATAGATTGGATTTTTTTATTCAAATGCATTCTTAAAATTAATTTAAATTACAACCTTCAGATTGAAAACGAGCTTTCCATTGTTGTAAGTCAGCAGTGAGTTTACTAACTTGTTTCTGAAGTTCACTCTTAACTTCTTGTTCTTCTTCAAGTTGTTCGCGTGCTTGCTCAAGATCAGCTGTTAAATTACGAATTTGTGTACCTATAATTAAATATTAAAAACGTATTTGTTATCAATTCTAATATGAATATTGTTCACTTCAACATGAAAGAAATCTACCTATCTAATAATACAAAGAATGAGTAAGACAAATTCAAAAGATCAAGGAGTGCATTGGAGATTCTGGAATTTCATCAGTATACTTATAAGAAATTTGCCAGTGTCATTACATATATGTAAAAATAGCTCCGAGTAACTATATTGAGGAGATTAAACTATGGTGTGCTTATTCTAAAAATATTAGGTTAATTTTTCAAAGGTATTCTATATTAATCTTATGTTATTACAGTTGACGAGCGTCTACTGTATTTCCACCAAGAAATATTAAGTCTACTTACCAACTGATCCTTTGCCACGTACTTCATCATCAATTGTTCGTTTAGCTTCATCAAGTTGTTGTTGTAATGATGTTTTAGCTTTAGTTACAGCATTAAGTTGATGTTGAAGATCTTCAATTTGTCTAGTTAATTCTGAATTTTCACTTGTTAATTTTGTTTTCTGATGAGTTAAATCAGTTATTTGTTTAACATGTTCTTCAAGTTTAATTTGTATATCATTTAATTGTTGTTCAAGTTGTTTCGAAAGTTTTTCAGCTGTTGTTTTACCTTTTTGTATATGTTCAATTTGTGAACGTAAATTATCTATTTCAGATTTAACTGTTTGTTTATCTTTTTCTAATTTGATTTTTAATTTTTGTAATTGATCAATTTGTTCACCCATTTCAGTAACAGCATCTTGATGTTTCTTACGAAGTTGTGCAGCTGTAGCTTCATGTTGAAGATTAGCTTCTTCTAAATCACGACGAAGTTTAGCTAATTCAGTTTCACGTTTTTTATTCATTTCAACTTGTGATGATGTTGCACCACCAGCTTCTTCTAATTTATCCTTCATTTCATCAATTTCACGTGCTAAATCAGCTCGTTGTTTTTCTGTTTTTGTTTTTGCTTGTCGTTCACTTTCTAATTCTTCTTCTAATTCTTGAATACGTGCTTGTGATTCTTTGATTTTCTTTCCAAGATTTGTTGCTTGTCCTTGTTCATCTTCAAGACGTCCACTCATTTGTTGCATTTCTTGTTCTTTACGTTTAAGAGTTTCTTCTAATTCACGTTTTGATCTTTCAATATCTTCAAGATTTGCTTGTACAGATTTTAAATCTGCTTCTAATTTTCGTTTTGATTTATCTAAATCAGTTCGTGCTTTTTTCTCACGTTCTAAACTACCTTCTAATTCATCTAATGTTTGTTCAAGTTTTGTTTTTAATTTATTTAAATGATTAACTTTGTCTTCTTCAGCTTGTAATTGTTCAGTTGTCTTTGAATTTTGTTCTTCAAGACGTTTACGTTCACGTGTTGCTTTAGAAATTGCTTCATCTTGACGTGCAACTTCATCTTGTAATGTATGAATTTGATTATCACGTGTTTTACATTCATTTTGTGATTTTTGTAAACTTAAACGTATATCATCAATATCTTTCTTTAAACCATCAATTTCATTCTCTAATTTTTTCTTTTTGTTATTCAAATCTTGTGAACTTTGTTCTTCTTGATTAAAACGTTCTTCTAAATCTTTGATTTGCTGTTCAAGATCAGCTTTTTGTACGACTGAAAAAAAAATGTTTGTTTATTTTAATATATTCTTTCCGCAAAAAAACAAATTTTACCTAATCGTGTATATTTTTCTTGAGTGTCTGATGAACCCGATTGTGCAGATTCAAGTTTTTGATTTAAATCATTTTTTTCTGAAAAGAAAATATTAAATAAAATATAAATTTGATTTTTCTTTTACCTCGAATTAATTTTGCATTATTATCTTCAACTTCTTTTCTTAATTTTTCTTCTTTTTCTAATGCTTCTTTAAGTGCTTTATATTCTTCTTCAATCTTCTTCATTTCATCTTCTTGTCGAGCAACTGAAAGCAATGGTTTAACTTTCGTATAAAGTTTCCACCATGCCCAATTACGTAATGATAAATATTTACGACAATTACGTTGTACAACAGCCAACGCTAAACGTTGTGCTAACATATTTTTATATTCTTTCTTCATAATATAACCACGAACTTGAGCTTGTAATGAAGAAATGATTTTCGATAAAGCTTGATCACGTAAATCTTCTAATTGACCAAGTGTTCCAGCTTTGAAGAAAACTTTCGTTATACCACATCGATATAATTCGGGGCTTAATGCACAATCTTTGAGAATATTTTCAGTAGATTTTTTTGCATCAGTAAAACCTTTGGGTATAGCATTAGGAGCCAAAATTGAATAACGTTGTTTAAATTCAGCATAGATCATACGATTAGGAAAGCCTTTACGACAAATTCGAATACCTTCCAATACACCATTACATGTTAATTGATGCATGACTAAATGAGCATCGAGAACACCACCAGTCTTTATTTCATTCGGAATAATACAACGAACAAAATGCGGATGAGTAGATTGTAAATTGGTCATCAATTTATTTAATTGTTCCTAAAGTAATAAACAAATGTTATTTCTCTTCGATTCGAATTATAAGAGAAATTTACTCGATGAACAGACGAGATGGTTTGCATACTACCTCCTCCCTTCTTTTTACCACCACCACCACCTTTGGCAGCATTTTCTTCTTCAATAACATCAGCAAAGAGATGTTTGAGCATAATATTCTTTGATTTAGAAAAGAGACCAGCACTAGATAAATTATATAAATAAATCAATGAGATAAATATGAAAATGAAAAATTTATACATACACTGTATTGTTAATGGGATCTTTATTCTTTTCAAGCCATGATGTAGCTGTATAAGAAACAGTGCCTGCATAATGATGAATATCAAAATGAGCATCAGCTTTGCCTTTGGCCGGCTTCGGTTTGCCAAATTGAGAATGTTTGCCTAAATGATTGTTGTATAGTTTTTCAACAAATGTCTTGTCTGTTGCTTTTGGAACAATACATTCTTCTTCCAAAATTGAGAGAATCCCCATAGGCTAATATTCAATAATAATCAATTGAAATAAAATATTAACAAAATTACAAACCTTCTCAATAAGATCAAGGCAAGCTTGTAAATCCATACCAAAATCAACAAACACCCAATCAATGGCTTCTTTTTTATATTCTTCTTGTTCTAATACGAACATATGATGATTGAAGAATTGTTGAAGACGTTCATTTGTGTAATTAATACACAATTGTTCGAAACCATTGAACTATGAAAATATTTCTCATTTTTCATTTACTTTTTTTATAAAGAAAATATTTACTTCGAAAATTTCGAAGCCGGCAATATCGAGAACACCAATAAAATATTGTCGTTTCGTTTTTACATCAAGCGTCTGATTAGCACGTTCAACTAACCAACAGAACATGCGAAAATAGATCTGGTTAATAAAAAAAATAAAGAATTAAGTGTTGCACATTCTGAAAACAAAAATTGAAATTATCGAGCTTCTCTCGCTGTATCTTAGGATCTATGTTTACTTTTAATAGAATATACATCATTCAAATCAATATTAGGAAAAATAAAAACTTCGATTTCGATATTTAATTTTTCCTTGTTTCATATCGCTAATAAGTATGATGAATGAATTAAAATATTCAACATACCGACTTTGATAGAGCACCAATCGAATTGATTACTTGATCTTTACTTTGACCTTTGTTCACAAACTCGTTACCGACCTAAATGGAATGGTTCAATTTTTTTCTTTAATATAAACAAATAATAATAGTTTCAACCTTGATACGTGGTTTGAGTAAGCCTTTGATGAGATCGGCTGCATCAACACCAAGAAGATGAGCTACTTTTTCAATATCTTCAGTTCCGTCAGCCTCAGCTTGTTCTTCACGGGGTCGTTGTTTCCATTGTGAATTACCCCAGTGCATAATAGCTGCTGTACATTTGTATAAATTGATCTTCTCTTCCTATGATTTGTAATACAAGAATGAACGTTGTCAAAAATTTGAATAAATTAATACAAACCGGTGTAAATCCGAGAACGTCCATAGCTTCATCGGTCGCTTTCATTTCTTCGGTATCATCGATACCATCAATCGTCAACATTCCTTGAGCGACATAGAAGTATTTTGATGGATCGGTTGAAATCAAACATTCCTCTACAATTCAAAATTTAATTTACTTCATCTTCGAATTAATTCAATTAATACTTACTTTGCATTTCGGGAAAAGCACTTGAACACATTTGATAAAATATATGATAGTTTCGTTCAGCTTTAATAAATAATATCAATTAAGATATTAATCAGTAGACGAAAATTACATTACCTGCTTGCTATAAGAAAATAATTAATTATTGAATCGAATTCTTTAATGAAAAAAGATTCTTCATACCTGAAAGATAACACGAGATTTTTCCAGTAGATAGACCTCGATATCAGCACCAGCGATCTTGCCCGTTGGACCAAAATGAATTCGAATAAATTTACCCTATAAAAAAGTTCAAGATAATTATCAGATTAATTATAATTGAACAGCATAATTTGTGAAATGCATGTGTATATTAAGCAACTAAACGAACTTGTTTTTAATCATGCACTTCGTAAACAAAAAAACAATAAAAGATGGTGAATAAATATAGATTGATATAAGTGAAAGAGAGATTAAAATAATGCTTGGATAAAAATCAAACAGTTAACTATTTTCTGCTTAGAAATATTTACAAATCGAGAGGAATTATTGTTTCGAGTTGTCTTTGCATTTCCATATGCCTCCAACACCGGATCTGATCGCAAACAAAAACTGTTTGTATGTTTTATCTAAATGAATACTCACTGCATGCAACGATTTGATCTTCGAGTGTCATTTGTTTCTATTTAAAACATAAAGAGATAATTGAATAAAAATTCACTCGTTGATAGCTTACCCCTGCACTTTCTTCTTTCTTAGTACCAGCAGCAGCAACTAAAGCAAAATATTGAATGACCTTCTTGGTATTTTCTGTCTTTCCAGCACCAGATTCACCAGTAATCAACATCGATTGATTCTCACGATCTAAATAATACACATATGTATTTCACTCTATTTTATATATTTTCTCATTTATGAATTCTAATAAACTATCATATGATGAACTCACGCATATATAGATCAGAGAGAAATAGAATACGAATACTTACCACGAAGCATATTTGAATAGGCATTATCAGATATGGCATAAAGATGTGGAGCCACTTCAGTACGTTTCTTGCCACGATACATGAGTACAACTTTCATCGTATAGATCGGAAGACGTTTGAACGGATTGATGACAACACAAAACAGACCCGAATATGTCTATACAAAAATTCATTAGAATAAAAAATAAATAAATAATAATATTCAAAATAAATATACATAGATGAGCCATCTTGCATAACGTTCGCGTAAGTTAGCAAATACCGAAGCATCATTTAAATATGTTAAATCAGCCATGTCATCATAACATGAATACTTCGGAGGATTCATTTGTTGAATGAGCTCTGTTTTTAAGGTTACTTTCTATAGACAAAAAACAAAGAATTGCTAATAGATCAATTTCATAGTTAATACTCACTTCTCCTTTACCAGTTTGCACTACTGTTTGTTCACCTTTGACCTCAACGATTTCACCAGCAACATAAACTTCTTTTGCATCAGGAATCCAACAAGCTTTTTTTGCATCAAATGGTTGAGATCGAAGTTTTAATTTTTCTGGCGTTGGAAGAACCAAATATTTCAATGATTCTTGCAACTCCTGATCATTCGGATCATATGCCATCCTTTAAAAAAAATTTCAAAAAAAAATTAATTCAATATTATAATTTCATACGATTCGCTCGACATGACTGTTGTTTTGTTAAATAATGTTTAACAATAGAAACTTCTTTATACCGTCTATACTGATGAGAGTATGTACTCGTCGTGCTATGTGTATGCTAAATGCATTTTTTTGCTTGTTGACAATTATTTATATAGTCTCTTTAGTGGAAGGAAATTACTAGAAGAAAATATCTTAATTATTTGAATGTTGTTTTTTTTGTCTTCCATAATTTTTTATGTTAATTTGCTTGAAAAAGCTATTATACGCGAATATTCTGTGTTGATTTTGCAATATGTTTATATGAGTTGATGGTTGGACAAGCAAATAGATAGAGAGAGAGAGAAAAAGAAATAAATACATCTGTTCGATTTCAATTAACATTCAGACTGAGATTCTCTTATTCAGCTTGATTAACCGTAACATTCTTAAGGGATAACGCATTATTGTCTCTTTTGGTTTAAGACTAATGATATTTATATTTGGAATCTTTCAATTAGAATAAGAAAGACATGTTTTGACTATCTTGATAATAAACATGCAAAAAAAATAAAAAGACAATCAAGATCAACGTTTATTAAATAAATCAATAAATAGATATGGCCTATTATGGATAAAACTTGTAAACAAGAAACTAATTATCGAAATAGCTGGCAAGCCCTCGTCTAGTCACAAATATCTGAATATGTATGTAAATATACAAATCTTTTTTTCTTATGATGTTAAGCTGCATATGAAGAACATCCTAATGAAAATATAAGAAAAAAAACATGTAGACATTATTTTTGTTACACTTAATATACATCTTTGACTGTAGTATTCTTTTTTAAAGTTTACGACATATTTCATCATAAATTAATCTGCAGTTTTATTGTATTAAAAGTTTTTCAAAGTATCATAAAATTTCAAACAAGAATACACTCGTATCTTATTTTAGTATTTTTTTTGAAGCTTTTTATATTTTGTTGTGCTTTTAACGATTAGAAATCAAATAATTATCGTTCATATACACGCTGATATATTGATCCAAGCACACCAGATAAATATACAAAAGCGATAGAAAAAGAAGAAGTCGCTAGAATAACGTAGATATAAGCTATATGCGTTTGTTGAAAACAAATAAAATAGAGAGAAAGAGAGAGAGAAAAAGTTGTATTTAAATCTACTAGACAGAACATGCCATGCATCTTCAAGCATGTCAACAGGGTGAAAGAAAAATAGAAATAAATTGGTCATATGGATAATGTTATACAGTATAATAATGCTACAAGAAACAAAAGAAGAGAAAATAATATATATGTAGCACATCATCTAAGATATATCTGTGGTGAAAAGAACGTTTCTTACAAGGATTTTATTCTTTAGAAAAATATTTCATAGAAATTCATTGTGTTGAATCCATATGTTTCAAAATAATAGAAGATCAATGTAATCCTAATTTTAAATACTAAAATAAATGAATTAAAATTCCATATAGTATGCAAAATAATTTCTTTCTCTGTGTTGTATTTATTCTGTTTCATGTAAACTAATCATATATAATTATTGTTTCTTGGTTCATACTATTTGAATTGTTGTCTGCTATAATTAAGATATACCCTACAATACTTCAGAAAAGCGATGAAAATACGATATCAATGGGTGCGGATAGCTTTTTACTCTTGACATTGTTCCACTTCATTCATATTTACCCTCAAGATATACATATACATTTGCTCAGAAAGTATATATATATTTATTATTCGTTAGTAAATTGATTCAGTTCTTCTCGTTTTAATTCTAGATATCATTATATAAAATTGTAAGTTGATGAATACGATCATCATCAGTACATATAAAATAAGTACTGATAATAGTAGTAAACATAAACATAATTTGATCCGTACTGATATTAATGTATTCAAAGTTTATAATAATAATTGCTGAATAATATTATTTATTATGCATGGGATACGTGTTATATATGTATGTTGAATATTTCTGTTTTCATATTTTGGTATTGTTTTCCAAACTGTTTTATCCCATATGAACTTATTGATTTGTTATTACTAACTTGAAAATTTCTTCTAAATACAAATGATATTTTTTCATTTTGTCTATTTTTGTTTTTCTAGTAAGTGTTTACTCTTTTTAAAAATATGTAATTAAAAAGATATATTTTTATTATATTATTTATTTTCTATTAGACTTCGGCTTTAATCATGTGGTAAATTCCAAACATCGTTTTTTTGCCCTTTCTTTTGTTTATATTCTTGTTTTTTCTAGTCTACTGAAAAGAAGAAAATATGTTTTCTTCCCTAGATACATGTAACATATCAATTTATTAAAATTAACTTCAATATATTTATTCTTTTTATTTTATAACACAAACATATAACGACAGATATTATTATTTGATTCATTTATTGTCATTGGTTTTAATTACTGATACTGGGGTTGAATTGCAACAGTGTTAGCTGTTTGAGTATATATTGGATGTATTTTCTTCTTCATCAAAACTATACGTTTAACTTCTCGACGGAATCCACTACTTGAAATCATTGATATATGAAAACTAGAAGCAAAAAAAGCATATAATAATGTATGTGTCACTTGATCAATTATTTTTTCAATGGCAAGTTGTAATGTTGATTTGTTCCATGATTCAGTTATATGATCATAGAGTATTTCTAATCCATATGGAAGAAATGATATTATTGCCATAATTGACTGTAGTAGTAGCATTAATGTAATTTGTGAATCAATTTGTTGAAGTCGTGAACGTTTTGTCGTATTTGTTTGTGTTGCAGCTGTAGCAACATTTGTTTGTCGTTCAATAGCATTTCGAAGAGATCTTCTTAAAAGATATGCAAGCACAACCACAGTAATTAGTGGACATATTTCCATGATGACTGCTTCTATATAGTTATCAATTTCATCGTACCAATCGAATCTAGGATTACATTTACTTTTGACTGCTGTATATACATAAAGTCGATGACAAAGAAGTATAAACCAAAAGAGAATAGATATGATCACCATTTTATAAGCCAAAGTAACACGATTGCTCCATTTTCGAAATGCTTAAAAGAAAAAGAAATTATATTGAATCATATAATTAATCAAGTTTACTGAACTGTGAGATGAAATAATACATTATATATATATACTTACAGTTTGAACGTTGTGCACATAAAACTCGATCAAGTGTTGCAAGTGTAAAAAATGTAAATGAAACCAGAACAAAATAATAGCTACCAGTTTGTCGAATTTTACATATAAAATCATAAGGACTATTATAAACTGGAATTCCATAGCCTTTCTCAATAACTCGTGTAAGAAGAATAATATTTATTACAAAGAAATCAAAGATTGTTTCAGCAAATAGATATATTGTGTAAGCTCGACTACGAAATGCTTGAGATTGAAATACAATTATATTACCAATACAACCAATATTACCCATAATACATAAAAACGTGCCAATATAAATGTTGACTAAATAAGGAAGTGTCGTAAGAATACCACTGCTACTACTGCTACTGGCACGATCAGTAATTGATGTATTATTTATTGTATCTTGATCAATAATAGACATTATACTTTAAATGTTCAATATTGATAAATAATAGGGAATGAAAAAAATTAATTTTTCTAGAAAACGAGTAGAATATGAATATTTTTCAAGTAAAAAAAAATAAAATACGTATGCCTGTGAATATGGATATCTAGTTTATTCTCATCATTTTGCAAAAATTTCTAAACAAATACTTTTCATAGAATCGTGAATCTTTTTGGTAACTTTAACTAAATGCTTACCGATACTTAACAATGTAGATAGTTAGCACAGCAGGTTTATATGATAGGATTTTTTCTTACTTCTTTCTTTCTCTAAATTCTATTTGTGTTATCAACTTTCTTCATATTTTGTATTAGAACAGCTGCAAAATGCTTAGATAATATATTCATATCTATAGATATAAGTAAAAGTTTGAATAATTTGTACCTAACATTACTAAGAAAATTTATGAAGCGTTCAATTAAAATATCTTTCATTAGAGAATACTTTTTTTGTTCGTAAATCCATTCTGTCTGTTAGATCATTTAATTCATTATCTATATTAACTTACATCACTATTATTAATTGAATAACGAGTGTCTCCTTCTTTTAGTTATGCTTTAGAAAATATGAAACTTACTAGAATTAATAAATTGAAGAATATATTCTAATACACAATTTTTTTTTCCTAATAACTTCAATATAGTAAAGAAAGAAAAGCGACTATGTTTATATGTTATATTTAGCGATATGTATATATAATGCACATAATTTATAGTAATCCTCTATTTATATACTTTATTTAAATGAGAGAGTGAAAAAAAAATAAGATTAATTAAAGCTATTCACTGTGAAAATTTATAAAAAAAAGGATTATATGTGTACGTCATTTGTGTTGTGAGATACAAAGGTAGGGAAATATTTTTTCCTTTTCTATCTATTTCAAACGAACTAATGCAATTACATTTAGAAAGAAAAGTAAAACATCAGGAAACACCATATCAGAGAGAATCCCTAGGGGTTCTGTTTCAAAGAATAAAAAAAATAAAATTCTTTAAATTTATCATAGATTCATGATATTTTCCATGTCAATATAAATTTAAATATAGAAATTGACCAAGCTTAAAAGATGTCAAAATGATTATAATTACTTCATGTATTCATTCCACGGAATATTTTCTTTTACAATCGATAGTAAATTATATAAAATGAATATACGCAAATTGAAGCATCACACAGCCATAACTCACTCTGATGAATGAATCGAGATGAAATTCTACAAGATTTGAAGATTTTCATACACATATAATATAAAACTTATATTTTATTCTACTTTGATTCTAATTTATACTTGCACTTCAATAGTGCCTATAATTTATGGTTCGATAACGCTTATATCTTCAAATCAGGATAATGAATAAAGACATAGATATTGAATAAATAACATAGTTTTATAACTACTCACAAACTATACTCACCTGTCGGAAACACTTTTCTCATATTAAGTTTTAAATTTCATTAATTCACTCAAGCACCTCGAGGCTATAGAGATCATTATCAATAAATTTGTTGACGTATATTTGTTGAAAAGAAATACAATCTACTAATCTCAATCTTTACTTTTTATCATTCAAACATAAATTGATAATTAATATTAGTTTTCAACATGTGCTTGTCAGATACTACTCTCTGGGATACAATATCTATAATATATAGAACAAAAAAAAAGTAGTTTTGTTTATGGTAACTAATTAGAAATTCATAAAGTTTATCAGTTCATTTTTTGTTCGGTTATTGAGTTGACTAAAATGTAATGACGAAGTATCAGTGTAAGAATCTATTAATTTTGAGCCAACTTATAATTAACCTGGATCTCAAATATAAATGACGAACAAGGTGTAATAATAAACAAACACAAAAACATGCACTGAATTAAGTAATAAAATACTTTAAATTTGCAAGTTAAATAAATAAATCATTTAAAAGAAGTTTTATTTATTGACAATTTGCAAATAATGACGAGTAAACAAATTATATTTAAATAGAGGAAATCTATTTTATTGGACATAATGTTTTTCTCGTTCTTTATTCCGATTCTTGTGACGTCCAAAACTGAAAAAAAGACAAGAAAAACAAAATAATAAAACAATTATTTTAATAAATCTACAACATTCTTTTTTTTTGAAAAGTATCAATGCCAGTACTAGAAAATATTGTTGGTTCGAAAGAATCAGAACATTTTACTAAACAAGATAATCCATCAATTGTTATCGATTATTTACTTGCAACTTCAACCCATGGATTACGAAGTGTTGGTCGTGCATATTCCAAACGTAATCGTATGTTTTGGCTTCTAATATTTACAATAGCTACAGGTCTTATGTTCTATTTTGTTATATCGGCTATTCTTCAATATTTTGCTTATCCAACACAGACAAAAGTTGATATTAATTTAGATCTTTCAATGGCATTTCCTGCTGTTACTATTTGTAGTGGAAATCCAAATCGATATGATAAAACAAATATATCACTTGTTAATTTTTTCTATCGATTAAATTCACCAAATACAACATTCAATCAGAGCGAACTCGATAATTTGTTACTACCATTATACATCGATTTATTTAATCGTAACCAAATTGAAGAATGGCAATCACTTGGTTTTAAAATGAGTGATATGTTATTATCATGTGCCTATAATGGCATTGATTGTTCAAATGCATTTATTCCTTCTATATCGTCTGCACTTGGAAATTGTTATACGTTTAACTGGAAGACATCAACAGATTTTGTTACCTTAACCAATATCAGTAGCACTTTTGTGTTGAAAGAAGGTCTTGGGATGTCATTTTATATACCTACCGAAATCTATTTTCCTGCAACATGGGCGGACGCCGGTCTCGTTGTATTATTACATGATAATGATGAACTTCCACTACCTAATGAGAATGGTCTCTATCTTAAACCTGGTGCATCTCATTTAATAGTCTATCGTAAAAGTGTAACAACATTTCTGCCACATCCTTATACTCAATGTACGTCTGAAGTAGCTGATGATATGCGTTCTCTTTATCAAACAACATTTATTAATCAAACAGCATCAACTGCTGTTGCGTATTCAGAATCAGTGTGTCGTATATTATGCGAACAAGCTTATATCTATTCGCAATGTTCATGTATTATTCCTGTACCATTTTTCTTGCGAAAAGTATACACACTTGATAACAATCTGATCAATGCAAATACTTGTAGTATGCTTACAAATGAAGCTGCATGTGCATTCACTGCCCAACAAAAATTCAGTGCTAGCAATCATTTGCAAGATTTGTGGTGTGTTCGTTGTAATCCTCAATGTACACACACATATTTTGATGCTGTTCCAAGTGCACAAGGGGCTCCATCAGAAGCAGATATGGAGTTTTGGGCTGAAGCATTAGTAAACGGAAGTAATATTACTAATACGACTAGTACATTGCTTCCTAATGATTTCGCTCAACGTTTCGACTATTATTTTGAACGAAATTATTTAAAGTTGTTCATAGCATGTGGTAGTAAGTATGTTACTGAATATAAACAAGAAGCTAAAACAAGTCTTATTGATACTTTTGCGGCGATCGGAGGACAAACAGGATTGTAAGTAACATATACTTGTTTTATTTGTCAAAATAATCATACATATGAATATAATATTTAGATGGATAGGCTTAAGTGTATTGAGCATGGTTGAACTGACCGAACTTATTTATCGTCTTATATACAAACAAATTGCATTGGTAAAGTCGAAAAGAGTTAAAACGACACCAGTTATGAATTATTAATCAATAATAATTAAACTCATTCATTTAAAACACTTTAATAATATTTACGTAAATACATATTTGTCTTAATATATATATTTTTATGTATTGCGTCAGTTGTTGTGATGTTCGCATTCGTATTTAAACATGCACTACTTATATATACATATATATTCAATTGTAAGATTGTTTTGAGAAAGTTAATGGAAATGTTAATAAAGAGTGAATGTGAATATGACACTCTAGCATATAAACCATCTTATCTTGTACTAATTCTTACGCATATTCGCTTATCATTAACTGAGAAAAACGTTGATTCTCACATAGTTTTATTTATTAAAATAAGAAAAATCAAAACGACTAGAAAAATTAAGAGTAACCTTTTATAAATGTTTTTATTTTACTTTCTCCAATGTTATTTATGAATGATACAACGCATTTAATAGCAACAGGATTAGGTAGTGGAAGAGATAGTTCTAATTTATTTCCTGTTTCAGTTCAATTTGAGAATGTACGTAGAACTTAAATATCGACGTCATTACCAGACCCATATCATTGTGATATATTTTATCTTGACTGCTCTTACTATAGTCCACTTGGTTCCTACGTGCGTTATTACACTCTTTAAATCAAACATAAGTACTTTTCATTTGATTTTCTATATGGATGAATTTAAACAGACTAATAATGAAAAAAAATTCAAACATCGACATGATCAGCTATTGGTCGTTACCATATGAAGGAGATTTTATTTTACAAAAACAACGAAAATGATGTCTACAGTCGAACATCCATTATCAAAAAAATATTTTATTTTTAAGTGATACAAAGTCTATAGTTTTCATCAAACAAATATTTAAAAATAGATTCAATGACGCTTTATTGTATTTTATTTTTATCTAAAAATACACAGAAATTTTAGTGTGATTTTGTTTTGTAAATAGAATTAATCTATCATGATACAGTCACGAATTAGAAAATAGTTTTAAACTTCAATAATTTTTAATAATAAAAAATTTTATTGATTTGAAATTATTCTGATTTTATTTCTATTTCAAATATTTTCTATTAAACTCATTTCAATGAATGGTTTAATGAAATTATAGTCAATTGAATATTTTATTTCAAATATTTTTCAAATAAAGAAAATTAAAATAATATAAGAAAAAATCTGATTATTCTTATTCATAATTTTTTCATTAAAAATCAAAGTTTAAAATATTGATATTTAGAAACGAATTCTAAGGACATTTTGTCCATTTCATTCAAAGAATTTCTAGGCACAAAGATTTCTTTAGTAATGGTACTAAATGCACTGGATTATTCAAAGGAAGAAAGGAGAAAACGATATGTACTATATACCATTTGCACATATGATCTCTCTTCTTTGTCTAACTTTCCATGTAAAGAAAGAAAAGATATATGATATGTGCTATCTATGTAATGTACTATGTTCTGATCGAGGTATGAATATTTCGGGTATAAAAAGCAAACGAATTTTCATTTTCTGCATATTCACTTCGTACATTCTCAACAATTTAAATTCCTTATCAATAAATCAGTAAGTTACTTGATTTGTTTATTTTAACCTTCTTATTATAATATTTATTTTTAAAACCAATAGATTCAAACAAAATGTTTGCTCAATTATTACTTCTTATCGCCTTACTCGTCGCTCTTCTTGCCACCGTCAGTGAAGCCTGGTGGGGAGGTTATGGTATGTTTTCATTATTTTGCTATCTATTGAAATTTTTCTAACTATGCTTTTTTTCTTTTTAGGATTGTATGTATTCTCTCATTGAATTCAATGATTAAAACAAATTTCGATATTTTTTTCAATATTTAGATATGGTGGATATGGCTTCGGCTACCCATATGGTCTCTGGGGTGGATATGGTGGATGGTGGGGTCGTTAAATGTTTGCTCTCAA